TTATGAAAATAAATCACATTTAATATTCATAACAGGTGTAGCGTATCATATGGTCGGTCACGCCACGACTATACTTTCATACTTGTTTTTGTATACTTCGGAAATTTCTTTCTAAAATGTTAGTTTCTTATGGACATGCCTTATCTTTATATCGCTGCAGATATCGGTACAAGTTTGTTTGAAAGTCATTAAACATTTATTTAATGGCTTTGATATTTTTTATAATATGCGGTTAATTTACAGATATTTATAAAAAAATCACTTTTACAATACATTGTAAATCTAAATAAATATATAATTAAAATAAATTTTTACAGTTAAATATTCTAAAGCTAACTATAAGAACTGCAGCAGAAAATTTTGTGCGGCAATTAAAAGATTTTTGTACAGCTATACAGTTAGATCTCACGATCCACTTGTTTGCATTATAAACAGTGATGGGCAAACTGATTGTGAGAGACCGAAGGTACATTATTATCAGACAAAAGCAGTGTTCGCTGTGGCAATTGCTTTCTGTGGACAACTTCATATATTTTTTATAATGTCACCCACTTCTGCATGATACTATATTAAAAGGAATAGCCCTGCATTATAGTATTAAGTCGTCATCGCTGCTGGTCTTAGTATACAACAATTGAATATCCATAAAATTTACCCACCAAAACTAATTGTTTATCACACTTTTGGGGTTTTTTTGGTGAAAAAAAAAAAAAACATACTACAACTCAAAAATTTAATTTATTATATATTTGTTCCAAATTTCAAATACATACAGTATTATTTGAGTTGAAATTGTTGATATTATTCTCTAGATATTTTAATAAAAGTTGTTTGGTTACTTACATTTAGTTTAGAACTAACATTTGATCTAACAACTATGAAGTCGCCGTGTTTATTGTTAATTATTTTATTGTATTTAATACAAAATTTACAAGTGGGGGCCTATGAAACAACGAGGGAACCAAAGTTGGCTGCAGTAAAGCAAACGACTCTAAAGTTGGCACATGTGGTAAGGTTGAATATACATATAAAAGATTGTTAGATAAAATATTTTATGATACTTTAATTAAATTATTATTCTTTTTTAATTACAGCTTTTTCGTCATGGCATTAGAACCCCTGTTAATACTTATTCTAATGATCCTTATAAAAATGAAACCTTTTTCCCCTATGGTTGGGGTCACTTAACTAATGTAAGTTGGATAAAGAAATTAAATGAAAACAACTTCTAATTCATCTAATTATAGGATGGCAAACGAGATCTTTATCAAATGGGAAAATGGTTGGGCCGACGTTATCAGGAGTTCTTAGCACCCTACTATAAGCCAGAGGTAAGTTGAATATTTTTCATTGATTGTGTCATTCTGATATTACCTTATTATTCTAAAACTATGTATCTTGCCACGTCCGTCTATCTATCTGTCCGTCAGTCAGTCTGTCTGTACGTCGTTCTGACTTTTTATTGATGCTGTCTGCTTAGTGTTGAAATTATGCAAAATCGCTTCACATTAGACCATAGTCCCCATATATGTTTCCCTTCAGAAAATGTCTGTCTGTCCGTCCGTCTGTCTATCTCCACGTCTATACGTACATATGTCTGTCTGTCTGTCTGTCTGTCTGTCTATCTGTCTGAATTTTATTGATGCTATCTGCTTGGTATTGAAATTAAGCAAAATCACTCCACATTTGATCATAGCCCCCCTATAAAAGGCTCCCTTCAGAAATGGCTTAAACTTTTATATCTGTAACGGTACATAATTAACCCTACATCCCATATAATTCTATCGCAGGAAATCACTCTATTGTCAATACTTCATTTAGATGATTTTATCGACTTTTTATAGAAAGTCTATTCTCTGACATTAAGGTCATTTAATTTTTATAATATTCTTATTCTTCTACAGTCAGTGTATGCTAGATCGACAGCCTCACCCCGCACTCTTATGTCTATGGCCACAGTATTGGCTGGTATGTTTCCTCCCAATAACACACCCATGAAATGGAATCCTAAAATGAATTGGCAGCCGATACCGATCTTTTCAGAACCTTTGGATAAAGATGTGGTAAGTAGTACAAATTACTAAGTGTCAACTATAGTCTAACCTAGTCTAGTCTATAAACTAGCCTAATGTCTAGTGTAAAGTCTAAAGCTTAGTCTGAAGTCTATTAAATGTAGTTTAAAGACTAGTCTAAAGTTTTGCCTAAAGTTAGTCTAAAGCTTAGTATAAAGTCTAGTTTAAAGTTTTGTGTAGTGGAAAATGCAGCTTAAAGTCTAGTCTAAAGTCTAGTCTAAAGTTTTATGTAGTGGAAAGTGCAGCTTAAAGTCTAGTCTAAAGTCTAGTCTAAAGTCTAGTCTAAAGTCTATTCTAAAATCTAGTCTAAAGTATAGTCTAAAGTCTAGTCTAAAGTCTAGTCTAAAGTCTAGTCTAAAGTCTAGTCTAAAGTCTAGTCTAAAGTCTAGTCTAAAGTCTAGTCTAAAGTCTAGTCTAAAGTCTAGTCTAAAGTCTAGTCTATTCTAAAGTCTAGTCTAAAGTCTAGTCCAAATTTATTCTAAAATCTAGTCCAAAGTCTAGTCTAAAGTCTAGACTAAAGTCTAGTCTAAGTCTAGTCTAAAGTCTAGTCTAAAGTCTGGACTAAAGTCTAGTCTAAAGTCTATTCTAAAGTCTAGTCTAAAGTCTAGTCTAAAGTCTAGTCTAAAGTCTAGTCTAAAGTCTAGTCTAAAGTCTAGTCTAAAGTCTAGTCTAAAGTCTAGTCTAAAGTCTAGTCTAAAGTATAGTCAAAAGTCTAGTCTAAAGTCTAGTCTAAAGTCTAGTCTAAAGTCTAGCCTAAAGTCTAGTATAAAGTCAAGTCTAAAGTCTAGTCTAAAGTCTAGTCTAAAGTCTAGTCTAAAGTCTAGTCTAAAGTCTAGTCTAAAGTCTAGTCTAAAGACTGGTCTAAATTATAGTCTATAATCTGCTCTATATTCTAGTCTATAGAATTGTCTTTAAACTAGTCTGTAGTTTAATCTTTAGACTAGTCCATAGTCTCATCTATAGCCTAGTACATAGTTTAGTGTACACTCCAGCCTTAAATCTGGTTTAAGGCCTAGTCTAAAGTATAGACTTAAGTCAATAGTCTAATCCATAGTCTAGACTATAGTTTTGTCTATAATCTAGTCTGATGCCTTGTATGTAGTCTTGTCTATAGTTTACCCTATAGTATGTTCTATAGGCTATTCTATAGACTAGTATGTAGTCTAGTCAATTCTTTCCGGTGTACTCTAAATTGTTTTTGGAATTTTCTAGGCATTGCGCATGCAGACTGATTGTCGGGCCTACTCTGAAATGGAAAGCAAGGTTGCACGACAAGAGAAACCTGAAGGTCTCTTTGAACAGTTAGCCCAGATAACGGGAGATAATGTGACCAAATCTGGCGATGTCAGCTCTATATTTATAACGCTATGGGCAGAGGTATTGTGGTTTAACATATCAGAAAGATATTATTTTTTAACACTTTTAATTTAACAGCAATTATATGGCTTAAAATTACCCGATTGGACACGAAACTTATATCCCGATAAAATGCGTTATATGGCCGAACAAAGTTATGTCGATTTAGTGGCAACTCCCGAAATGAAACGCATTAAGGCAGGACCATTTCTTGAAATGTTGACCAAACAAATGTTGGATAAAGCTAATGGTACGCTTAAGCCTAAGGAGAGGAAAATGTTTATTTATAGTGCTCATGATTGGACTATCACCAATATATTGATTGGTTTGAATGTATGGAAAAGGCAAATGCCTAATTTTTGCGGCTTTAATATTGTTTGAATTGCATCAAGATAGAGATACTAAGGAATATTATATGGAGGTGAGTTATAATTTGATAGTAATGAAGAATTTTAACTAAATTCTTAAAATTTCAGCTTTATTTCCAAAATGGTCCTAAAAATGCTTTAGAATCTTTAACTTTACCGGGCTGTAGTTTTCAATGCCCCTTGACTAAGGTTATGGAACTGCTACAAGATGTTTTACCCACCGGTACTTATGATGAAATGTGTGAGAATCAATAGCGAGCGATTAAGCAGAAACAGCTCTGATTAGAATGTAATCAGTGAATTTTGTATTAACGTCACTTTTACTTTTTGTTTATTGTAACGGCGAAATAAATTTTTAATTAATTTTAAATGTTTTCAGAAAGTCGTTAAGTTATTTAATAATAAAATTAAAAAAAAAAAACGTATTTTTTTTAATACGGAGAAAAACTCATTAGAATATTTTAATCAGATAGTAAATCTTTATTATCGCATTAAAAAAAATCACACAAAAGCGTAAAAACTCGGTCAGATTTATTATCCAAGAATTTAATTTTTTATTCTTAATCTTCCCCATATGTTGTTGTACGTTATTTACAGAAAATATTATAAAATACTTAAATGTCAATAATGAATTCATAAAAGGCGTGTGTCATTCAATGACAATTGGTGTCTTTTTAAGTGCTTTATAATGCCACGATCTGTTTCGTTTCTCTGTCAAAATAATGCTTGTACAACTTGCCTGACAGACAGTCCACAGATACGAATGATTTGACAAGTGTTTTCACATTTTACAACAACTCATGTCTAATGGCACAACAATTATTGTCTGAATTTCATAAAAAATTAATGCCGTATGAAAATATTCTTAAGAATTTAAAATAGTGTGAGAGAGAGAAGAAGAGAGTGATCAAGGTATAAAAGGAAAAGTAAAGGGGAAAGATAACCAATAAAAGTCTATAGTCCAGTCTATAATTTAGTCTATAGTCTGATCTATAGTCTATAGTCTAGTCTATAGTCTAGTCTATAGTCTAGTCTATAGTCTAGTCTATAGTCTAGTCTATAGTCTAGTCTATAGTCAAGTCTATAGTCTAGTCTATAGTCTAGTCTATAGTCTAATCTATAGTCTAGTCTATAGTCTAATCTATAGTCTAGTCTATAGTCTAGTCAAGTAGTCTATAGTCTAGTCTATAGTCTAGTCTATAGTTCTAGTCTATAGTCTAGTCTATAGTCTAGTCTATAGTCTAGTCTATAGTCTAGTCTATAGTCTAGTCTATAGTCTAGTCTATAGTCTAGTCCTATAGTCTAGTCTATAGCAGTCTATAGTCTAGTCTATAGTCTAGTCTATAGTCTAGTCTATAGTCTAGTCTATAGTCTAGTCTATAGTCTAGTCTATAGTCTAGTCTATAGTCTAGTCTATAGTCTGTCTATAGTCTAGTCTATAGTCTAGGTCTATAGTCTAGTCTATAGTCTAGTCTATAGTCTAGTCTATAGTCTAGTCTATAGTCTAGTCTATAGTCTAGTCTATAGTCTAGTCTATAGTCTAGTCTATAGTCTAGTCTATAGTCTAGTCTATAGTCTAGTCTATAGTCTAGTCTATAGTCTAGTCTCTAGTTCTAGTCTATAGTCAGTCTATAGTCTAGTCTATAGTCTAGTCTATAGGTCTAGTCTATAGTCTAGTCTATAGTCTAGTCTATAGTCTAGTCTATAGTCTAGTCTATAGTCTAGTCTATAGTCTAGTCTATAGTCTAGTCTATAGTCTAGTCTATAGTCTAGTCTATAGTCTAGTCTATAGTCTAGTCTATAGTCTAGTCTATAGTCTAGTCTATAGTCTAGTCTATATTAGTCTATAGTCTATCTATAGTCTAGTCTATAGTTAGTCTATAGTCTAGTCTATAGTCTAGTCTATAGTCTAGTCTATATCTAGTCTATAGTAGTCTATAGTCTAGTCTATAGGTCTAGTCTATAGTCTAGTCTATAGTCTAGTCTATAGTCTAGTCTATAGTCTAGTCTATAGTCTAGGTTCTATAGTCTAGTCTATATGTCTAGTCTATTAGTCTAGGTCTATAGTCTAGTCTATAGTCTAGTTCTATAGTCTCGTCTATAGGTCTAGTCTATAGTATAGTCTATAGTCTAGTCTATAGTCTAGTCTATAGTTAGTCTATAGTCTAGTCTATCGTTCTGTCTATAGTAGTCTATAGTCTAGTCTATAGTCTAGTCTATAGTCTAGTCTATAGTCTAGTCTCTAGTCTGGTCTATAGTCTAGTCTATGTCTAGTCTATAGTCTAGTCTATTAGTCTAGTCTATAGTCTAGTCTATAGTCTAGTCTATAGTCTCGTCTATAGGTCTAGTCTAGTCTATAGTCTAGTCTATAGTCTAGTCTATAGTCTAGTCTATAGTCTAGTCTATAGTCTAGTCTATAGTCTAGTCTATAGTCTAGTCTATAGTCTAGTCTATAGTCTAGTCTATAGTCTAGTCTATAGTCTAGTCTATACTCTAGTCTATAGTCTAGTCTATAGTCTAGTCTATAGTCTAGTCTATAGTCTAGTCTATAGTCTAGTCTATACTCTAGTCTATAGTCTAGTCTATAGTCTAGTCTATAGTCTAGTCTATAGTCTAGTCTATAGTCTAGTCTATAGTCTAGTCTATAGTCTAGTCTATAGTCTAGTCTATAGTCTAGTCTATAGTCTAGTCTATAGTCTAGTCTATAGTCTAGTCTATAGTCTAGTCTATAGTCTAGTCTATAGTCTAGTCTATAGTCTAGTCTATAGTCTAGTCTATAGTCTAGTCTATAGTCTAGTCTATAGTCTAGTCTATAGTCTAGTCTATAGTCTAGTCTATAGTCTAGTCTATAGTCTAGTCTATAGTCTAGTCTATAGTCTAGTCTATAGTCTAGTCTATAGTCTAGTCTCTAGTCTAGTCTATAGTCTAGTCTATAGTCTAGTCTATATTCTAGTCTCTAGTCTAGTCTATAGTCTAGTCTCTAGTCTAGTCTCTAGTCTAGTCTCTAGTCTAGTCTCTAGTCTAGTCTGTAGTCTAGTCTATAGTCTAGTCTATAGTCTAGTCTATAGTCTAGTCTATAGTCTAGTCTATAGTCTAGTCTATAGTCTAGTCTATAGTCTAGTCTATAGTCTAGTCTATAGTCTAGTCTATAGTCTAGTCTATAGTCTAGTCTATAGTCTAGTCTATAGTCTAGTCTATAGTCTAGTCTATAGTCTAGTCTATAGTCTAGTCTATAGTCTAGTCTATAGTCTAGTCTATAGTCTAGTCTATAGTCTAGTCTATAGTCTAGTCTATAGTCTAGTCTATAGTCTAGTCTATAGTCTAGTCTATAGTCTAGTCTATCTAGTCTAGTCTATAGTCTAGTCTATAGTCTAGTCTATAGTCTAGTCTATAGTCTAGTCTATAGTCTAGTCTATAGTCTAGTCTGTAGTCTAGTCTATAGTCTAGTCTATAGTCTAGTCTAGTCTAGTCTATAGTCTAGTCTATAGTCTAGTCTATAGTCTAGTCTATAGTCTAGTCTATAGTCTAGTCTATAGTCTAGTCTATAGTCTAGTCTATAGTCTAGTCTATAGTCTAGTCTATAGTCTAGTCTATAGTCTAGTCTATAGTCTAGTCTATAGTCTAGTCTATAGTCTAGTCTATAGTCTAGTCTATAGTCTAGTCTATAGTCTAGTCTATAGTCTAGTCTATAGTCTAGTCTATAGTCTAGTCTAGTCTATAGCCTAATCTACAGTCTACTCTATAGTCTAGTTTATAGCGTCTAATTGATAGTCTAGTCTATAATCTATTTTCTATTCTAGTCTATATTATGGTCTATAGTCTAGCCTTGTATATATTCTATTCTAGTCTATGTTCTAGCCTATAGTCTAGTCTATAATCCAATCTATAGTCTAGTGTACAGTCTAATCTATAGTTTAGTCTATATCTAGTCTATAGTCCAGTTTATAGTCAAGTCCGTTGTCTATCCTATAGTCAGGGCTATTGTCTAGCCCAAATCTAGTTCTTAGTGTATTTTATAGTCCAGCACACAGTCCTATTCTATAGTCTAATGTAATGTCTATGTGTATTTTAGGCTACAGACTAGTCCGTAGTCTACTCTAGTCTATTGTCTAGTCGATACTTTAGTCTATAGCCTAGTCAATACTCTGATCTATAGTTTGAAGTGTTATTAGTTTTTTCTTAGTTGCATTTTAATCGTTAGTTGTACTTCCCCTTAAAACTCATACGTTTTGCGATCGTTAATCACTCCCTCTCTTGCTCATTTAAAAATATTTTTTAAGAGTCAATATCCGTTTTCTTTATCTACGTTATGGAGAAAACTTTTTATTTATTATCCGATTGTTAAGAGAAGCAAATGATAATGGCCATAACAACAACAACAATAAGATCAATAACAATGATAATAAAAAAATAAAAATAATAAATTTAAAAAAAAGAACAGTTTAGTTAGCGATATTGATGAGACCGGTAGAGAAATTAGAACAAATTAACAAAAAAGTTATAAAAACAAATTTTAACAAAAAACAACAAACCTAAAAACGTGATAAATTCTAAACAAAAAAATTAAAAATATTTAAAACAAGTTTATTCAGACGCGTGTTAATTTTTTGTATCAAACTGTAAAAAAGATTAATAAAAAAATTAAAAAATGTGTAAAATAAAAAAAGAACGTAAACAAATTAAAAAAAAATACTTTTTTTTAGTTAACAAAATGTAACTAATAACAAATTGTAAACTTACAAAAAGCATTACTACTTAATTAGTATTTTAAATTATAAATAATTGTTGTAAATTTTAATTAAAATATTCAGCTTTTTTTTTAAGTAGCAACGACTACAACAATTTGAAGGTCTTTGTTTGTTTGATATTTTTTCTGAAAAGTACTAAAATATTTAACCACTTTTGTTTAAACATAAAGTGAATCAAGAGTTTAATGAGAACCATTATAAAGTGTTTGTGTTTATAACTTCTTTTGTTTTATTTTTATCTTGTCTTTGCTTTTCTCCTCTGTTTTACGTCATTTCTTTCAGAAAACAATAAAATACAAGACAAGAAATTGAAGAGAGATAAAATAAATAATAAATATAACATTTTAACAATTTTTAAACTTTTGTTTAAATTTCTTGTTTTTTTCTCCTACTGTTTTAATTATTTTTTTTTTTTTTACAAATTTAAACAGTTGGTCTAACAACCTGTAAGATCGACGGAAATTCCAAAAAAAAGAAGTGTAAAACATTCAAGAATTGTAAACTGTAAACTAAACACAGATTAAACTATATAGTCTTGACTAGGCTATAGACTTAACTATAGACTAGACTATAGACTAAGCTATAGATGAAAAAAAAAAAAAAAAAACTAGACTATAGACTAGACTATAGACTAGACTAGACTATATACTATAGACTAGACTATAGACTAAAGTATAGACTAGACTATAGACTAGACTATAGACTAAACTATAGACTAGACTATAGACTAGACTATAGACTAGACTATAGACTAGACTATAGACTAGACTATAGACTATATACTAGACTATATTCTAGGCTATAGACTAGCCTACAGATTACACTATAGACTAGACTATAGAGTGTATACTAGACTATATTCTAGACTATAGACTAGGCTACAGACTAGACTACAGATTACATTATACACTATACTATAGATTGCACTATAGACTAGACTGTAGATTACACTATAGACTAGACTATAGATTACACTATAGACTAGACTATAGATTACACAATAAACTAGACTATAGACTAGACTATAGACTAGACTATAGACTAGACTATAGACTAGACTATAGACTAGACTATAGACTAGACTATAGACTAGACTATAGACTAGACTATAGACTAGACTATAGACTATACTATAGACTAGACTATAGACTAGACTATAGACTATACTATAGACTAGACTATAGACTAGACTATAGACTAGACTATAGACTAGACTATAGACTAGACTATAGACTAGGCTATAGACTAGACTATAGACTAGACTATAGACTAGACTATATACT